TCAAATATGTTCCTTATTTGACTGTTCTTAGCAAATACCTGAACAAAAATTCGGGGGTCACCGTGCTCGTTTAAGAGAAAAGGAGCATTTATTTCGCTATCGAGCTTAGTTTGAGGGAAATCTCTTACGTTTTGTACGTGCACGCGCTCATGTGCGCGCGCTAATGACTTGAAAATCGTGCGCAGTAGGGATGCGCAATGCAATACTAAGGAATTACCTTAACTTCTGGTTGGATGAAAAAGTTGCGCGAGTTTTTTTAAGGACGTTCGCACGAACATATTCCAACCTTGATTTTCTTCTGAGACTTTTATCACTGTAAGATGATGAGTTAGTTATGTCAGAANAAAAAAAAAAAATGGGGGTGGGGCACCGACTTCGTTTTGGAGAGAACATGCCCGGAAGAACACCCTAAGTCTGAAATATCGGGCTTCGTAGGCGAATAAGGCCACAGTGTCTGTAAGCCTAAAGATATCGCAATTAGATCATTGAAGTAAAATGTTCTCTGCCAAACATTGTTTAAGTGGACCTATTAAGTGAATGTAGTGAACTGGTGAGGTTCCTTAAAGAACAAGTTACGTTCGTATTTAGCGATCATAGTTTCACGCGTTTTGCAGCCGCAAGATGTTAGGATTCGATGTCCCGTGGACAGAAATCTTGAATTTTTTTAACTTCCTACATTGATTTTTTGTTCATTTTTGGACAATGTGGAGAAAATTGTAAATAAAATCTGTTTCTGGAAAGAAAAGTAGGGGTCACCGAACGTGCAAGATCGTTAAATCCAGGCAAAGCTNNNNTCCAAGATCGTTAAATCCAGGCAAAGCTATAGCAATGGCCATCTGCCCTATCATTGTTCATTTTGTTACTTGGCGCGCGTTCGATGCATGACGTGGCGTGTGAATTTGCGTGCGCAGTAAGGATGCGCAGAAACAATTAGCGCGAACATCCTTAAGCCAATCGTGTGGCGTAGTAATCTACCTTTCGATATTCAAATGAAAATCTCTCTAGAAAATGATCAATGCCTAATTCCTACGTATTTTGTTAAGCAGATAGGTATTGAGAAGAAAGAAAATCATCAACTAGTTGACATTGTATTCATGTATCACCAAATTCTCAAAACGTACATTAAGAGAAAAGAATAATATTCAATAAGGAGAATTTACATTTTGAACTTGTGTAACTGTGCTGATCGCTTCGCTGTTTTCTCTTAACAGCTTCTTCCGCCGGCAGAGTTGTTTCGTCGAGCAGTAAAACTGGTTCAAATGTCTGCGTCTCTGTGCCAGTACAAGTATGAGAAGTAAGCTATGCACTACATTTCTTTAGCTCTCGGCGGATTTTTTTCATATTTTGTCAGTTTTAAGTTTCAACTTTCTAAATCCGTGTTCTGTCACGGAGATGAGGAAATTTGAGAACGTCATTTGGCAAATGATCAATCACGAGAAATCGAATCACGCAGACAAAGCTTTTAACCATATACCCTCTGCAATACCTTACAAATTTCTTGTGAGTCTCACAAACATGTCAGGATACCGAAAATGTATTGTTCTATACTAGGTAAGTTGTTTTAACAACCGCAGTTATAGCAAGCAAAAGAAATTACTCCAACCAATTCACTTTTAACCATTTTGCCTCTATCTGTGTTTACAAAACGGACATTTTAAAAATATTACATGGATTGCTCGAGTAACGAATTTCCATTCCTTTTTATTGACTTTCAGGGAGAATGATGAAGAAAATTTAGCTCACACTGTTTTCACACAGTACATCAATGAACACGAAAACCAAATGGACGCCGAACTTGCTTTTGATGCGTCATTCTTTAAAGCTAACAGGAAGGTAATTATAAACTGTGCTGTATTTGATCTCAGTTTTATTCCGCATTCTTACTTCCTTTTGCATCCTCGCGTGGTCCCCTCGCGTATCTCACGCGGAGCTTGCGCAATAAGAACGTTTTAATTAACCCTGCTGCGGGCGAGCAAGTCATATTGCCAGTTGTTACTGAGTAGTGGGTGGAGAGAGTTTGATACCCAGCTACCATCTAGAAGAGATTATACGGATGACAAATAAACCAGCGTGAATGTCCAAAATTATCCCGCAAAGTGGTAGCCGCGGCCACGCCATTTTCCTTTTTGTCTACGTAAGGTTGCTCTCAGAGACTTACTGCAGCGACAAAATCTTGCACTCTTCACACGACGGACATGTGTAGGAACAGGTTGCAGTGGCACGTCACTTCGTGTCTGTTGATCGTGATCGTGATCGTCATCGTTGATAACATTCACGAGATGTAGCTGCAACATGTCCCCGTTAACATAGCATGCCAAACGTCCTCGGGTGAACTGACCTTAAAAATATCGAGATATTGCTCGAAAGGAGAGATTGAAAAGAAGATCGTGGAATAGTATACATACAAAACATACATACTTTATTTGCAACTCCCTAAAGGGGCTTTTCAGTTACAAAAGGAATAAAAAAGATAAAAATACGTCAATTAAAATGAATAAACAAAATGGGAAAAGAGTCTAAAATTAATTACAGTATTAAAGATTTAAAAATTTACAAAGTTTAAAATTAATAGGTTATTGTAATCTACTTTCTTGTCAGATGAGGGTCTCGGCTGAAGTGAAGGTAATTTTATCAGTTCACCCGGAACAGCGGACGGAACAACAACTAGCAAAGGTTTGTAAAGTTCACACTGATACAAGTGTTCTGTATCACTCACCCGCGCGGCAAAAAGCAATTACATGTGACTGCTCCTTGCTTTACACAAGGTAAAATAAGTAACGTCTAGAGACGAGACAAAAGCTGACATAAATGGTAAGGTTAAGTCGATCTTAGCTCTTTCGAAATACAGAAAGGAAGGCCTTCCGGGGGATTTAGGGAACAAGGAATATTTTTGGGATTAATTTGAGGGAGCAAGAGATATCTCTAATATTAAAGGGAAGTTTGACAAAAAGTTTTAATGAAAAATAGCATTTATTAATAAGGATCAAGGGAGGAAAATGTGAAATTTTCATGGGATCAGGGCCCTCAGAATGAATTTACAAAACTGCAGTAATAGGAATCATATTAATCAGAGATAATTTCCCTGTTTTATGACTAGTTCCAAAGCCTACACTTTCTTTCGTTTTTCAGGTTCTCTTTTCTTTGCGATCGATTCGATCGTTTGCGGAGTATCCTCAACGAATTCAGCAGAAACTTGTCAGAGTTGGATGGTATGAAACGTAAGTTCCAACTGGCAAGCAACCTATGAAATGCCCGGGAAATATCGCATCGGCGTCCATTGTTCCACGATTATCGCAAACTTCTGCTTGAAACTGTAGAACCAAACGTTACATTTTGTCGCGAAGAGACAATTTCGCCGTTTTGTGACAAAACTGGTAACGGTGCATTTCCAAATGTCGATCTATTGATATCCCTTACAATGTAAAATATTATTTTTCTGTTTTTTCCACCTCAGACATCAAACCAAGCGGGCAATCCTAAGACAAGGTCATATACCGCAGGCTTTCTACTTCGTGCTCTCGGGCTCAGGTAAGTCTTGACATACATGCATTCCTTGTTGCAATTACAAATACACATGTGATGTCATAACGGAGTAAGAGCTAGCCCTTCTCAAACTCCTTAATAATTCATCAAATTTAAACAAAGGAAATCATGACCGTAACGGTGTTAATTTTCCATTTTCTCCTTAGTTTTAGTTTCGACTGAGAAGATATATCAGACTCAAGGCAGTGTTTGACCACATTTCCAAACACCTGGAAGTTCGTCAAAAATACTCCGCTGTTCGTCGTATATTTTCCAAGTCTCCTCTCAGTGTTTGGAAACGTGGTCAAACACTGTCTTTCGTGTTTGATATATTACAGAAACGACAGATGATGGGCAAAGTAACCAGCAAAATAAGCAGGTAAAACAAGCTAACGGTCAATTTTACGTTAGGAAATAATATAACTGACCATCTCAGTTAAGAAAGAGAGTTTTAGTTTCTTATTTTTTTTCCAGCTGTCGTGACAGTGATGGAAGAAAACGAGAGCTTTGCAAGAACAGTTCACTTCCTACGACGTGGAGATAGTTTTGGGGTAGGTGAGAGT